GGCACAGCATACACAAGTGCTACAAACAGAACAAGCACACAGCCCAGAGGCATGGCAACCACCCAGAGGTGACAGTCCCCCAGAGGCAGTTCCTGTCTCTGTGCCTCCTTCACTAAGAGACCGCATTCATACACATGGGGGGAACTATGAGAAAGGGAACAATTGAGTTTTGATCCAGCTATTAACAGTTGCAAAATGATGCTGAAAGAATAACTGTAACAGCCATAACTGACAGTGGTCCTGACATAGCTTATGACCTATACCCAGAGGGCAAAGAACTGGTAAATATACTGATCCCAACCTTTGAATACTGTTTTGAGCAACTCTGGCAAAGACAGTACCAAGATAATATTCCATAACAAAGAAAATGCTTCTATAGAGTTGTGTGTTCATCTTCTTGCTAGCAACATGGAACACTCATTGACCTACTGCGATATTTACAGATGTGGTGAATTCCTGTATTTAGAGAAGTGATTACATAAATGGGGTGCAACCTTGCAGTGAGATGTACCCTTTCATTCAAATGTCTTCTAAAACTAAGAAAACATTTGTTACTTGTTGATTTAACACATTCTGATAAAATGCAACCATAATTGAATTGCATTAACAGCTACAAGTGCCACAAAAACTATAAATCATTGCTGCTTACCTCCTGCAAGGATAGTGTATACTACAAACAATCATGGCACCACATAATTACTCACATAGTTTGAATCTCACTTTATGTGAAAGACTGGTGAAAGACTATTTGGTGCTTCAGTTTCCATGAAGGTCCATCTTGCAACTGGGGTTGCAGAATGGGTTCTGATTGCAAGTTTCATGTGCTATTTACAATTAATCCCATTTGGCTTAGCATGAACCACCTTCCCTTAAAATCCATCCTGAAACATTTGAATTGGTAAAGAAAAACAAGATTTGCCAGGTAATTTATTTATTTAAAAGGATTTTCCACTACATTTCCAGAAGCTTGGTTCATAAAAAAAAAAGCCATGAGTATTTCTGCTGCTTTAAGTAATCCACATTTTGTGATGAGAAATGAAATAAAATCATCCTGAGATCCAAAAATAAAAACATCCTAACTTAGCAACCAGATGTTATCTGGTATAATGACTCCAGATTACCTTAACAGTTATATCAAGCCTAACAACCCTCAACCAAATAATCACCCAGCACTGTAGAAAAGATCCCATTGACCAAGGTCAACTCATCTCTGTAACCAACTTACATGACTCCAGCAATAGAGCAATCCAAAGCTGGAGACAGATAATGAGGGGGTAGCCTGGAGCACAGCCATGTTACTCACTTCTCCTGCAGGATCCATCCAGCTGCTGATACATTAAGTTGGTTGGGAGCTACAGCAAGTACCACAGTGGTTCTGAGCGGAGATGAGGCAAAATGGATGCACATCACCTCTCATACTTCCCTCCTGTGTGCATTTAGATGCTTGGCTTAACTTGCCATTATACTAGCAGCACAACAAAAAGTGACTGCTTATTCCTGGCTACACTGTTTAGGTGTGCTGAGGTTCACCTGTGCCTTGAATAGTCCCTTTCTTTCTACCACTTCTTTCTTCGTGCACTAAGCCTTTCATCCTCAACATCTTAGAGAGGTGTCTGACTGACTTTTCATTTCTGGAGATCTGTGTCTAAATGCAGAACTGCAGCAGGAAGAGGATAACATGAGTATTGTTGAACCCTTTCTCTGTGCAGTGCTCAGTGAATTCTTGTTCACTGCACTAATTCTCGTCACAGTATAATGAATTTGGTATTTGCTGTGAAGGAAAAAAAAAGCAGCAAAATTACCAGTCATATCACACTGTGAAAGCAAATACGTTGCAAAATATATTTGATAAGCAGTAATTTTTTAATTTTAATTCATGAGGCTGGAACAATATTTTATGAAAAACTTCTATATACAAATTCTGTTCTTGAACAGTAGATAACTAGAAGTTCATGTTGACAATAAAGAAAAAAATAAGATATGACTTGCTCATCCCACTATTGAAAGGCAAACATTTCCCTGAAACTACTGTCATAAATCCTCGAAAATGCATGAAGTGTTCTGACATCAATAAGCAGTTTTCCTGGAAAATATCACAGATTTAGCAAAGTCAGCTTCTCTAAGACTGGAACTTTGTTCCCAAGCAATGTACAAGAAGTACTAGCCTGGAATAGTTATCAAAACCAGTGTTTCCATTTCCAAATATCATAAGCTGCTTGTATCAAGGTGTCTGTTACCTAGTATTGATCCTGGTATATAATACCCAGAACAGATAATATTACTTTTCAAATACTTTGCAACAGTACTAATCTTCAGCTCCAAGCATCAACGTGGTTCAACATTACAATATAACTTCATTTTTACAAGAGCAGAATGCAAATATAATGACTAAAATCAAATCACAAGTCACTGTACTGACTTTTACATATTTCTACTCAATCGTAAAATGCAATAGATTCCTCCTATAGTTTTTCTGTGCAGCAGGGATTTTGCAAACTAGTCACAGAGGAATTCGGGGTTTTTGTTTGTTTGTTTGTTTGTTTTATTGAAAAGCAGAATTTGTTCTAATTTCTTTTCATTTCACATTTTAAAAATCAGTCAAACTGAGTTGCTTGATTGTAACTGTGACTGAAATTTCAACTACAATTTCAGTAGTTCAAATTATCTCACTATATCAAATGGTGAGATAAGATATTCTCATAATATTAATTTATGAGCACACACTGATTCATCCCTCTATGTTTGGGCATGTATTTTGGAAGAATTGCAATATAATGAGTATATTATTATTTATTTCGAAGTAATATTACAGTTGAACTGGTCTCATAAAGCAGAATATCCTGAAGTTTTTTATCAGTTCTCCAAAGTAACAGGACTACCTGGAGGATCACTCTAGATTTTAAAAGTCTTTATGCAATAGTCCTTCCAGGATCAACGTTTTTAAATTCTGATACTGTCAGAAATCTAAAGCTTTCCTACGTTGTGCTTGTGATGCAAGAAAACTTGATGGATTGAATCACACTTCCCTCTAGCACTCCACAGAGATTCAGTACTTTGTATTTTACTTTCCAGCTTAGCCTCTTCTCTCTTCTAAGCCTTCTTAGTTCCAAGTAACTTCATTTTACACACACACAAATGAAAAACAAAAAAAAAGGAAGAGAAAAGGGAAAGTATCATATCTCGGACCCTTCCTGTAGCAAAACTACCACCAGTTTGGCAATGATGGATGGATACCAGCTTGGCTTGGCACTGCCACAGAAACCACCCACTGGATGGTTCTCCTGACAACGTTCCCTCAGAACAGCTCAGGGTTACCTGCCAACCCATCATCCCCAAGCTACCCCAGTGTGATGTTGAACTGAATTTGGGCCAATGTATTCTCAGAGTGCTAAGACCAAGCAGAAAAATACGTGCCAGAAGTTCATGCAAATGTTACCTGTCACAAAATTAGGAGACAAAGAAACATCATATAGAACAGGAACGCTGAGACAGAATACAAGTCAAAGTTTTTTCCATGAAACATTACCGCATTCTTCTTAGAATACGCATGTCAATTCAGAACAGGAAGCTTCCAGCTGAGCACGAGGCTCTCAGCACCCATAAGTCAGACTGCATAGCAGATGTTAAATGCAAAATCCATTAAGACCAATTAGATTCTGCAGAAGAAAAAGACTACATAGTAATAGCATGCACAGACAATCCTGCATTACACAACAGTATAGAGATATAGTGAAATACAAAAGAAAGACAAAAGCTTAAAAAATGCAAATTAGCCTTTCCTCACAAAAAGATTTGCCAAGAGAGGCCTGCTGAACTGCCTGCAGCCATGTGAGGCAAGGTCTCCTCACTTCTGGTCTCCTTTTCCATTTAGTGGAACTTCTGTGTAGGCTATCACCTACTGCACACCAAATAACAATTAATTAATCAGTGGCCCTGTACTGCAGCCCAAAACCACAATGAAGCAAAAGAACTTGGGCCTCTTTCCCAAACTGCATACATATTTCACGTTGTATTAACAGAAGTAAATCACTCTTTTGTGCACTAAGTTTAGAGCTTCCGTAGCTTAGAGAACATAGGTAGCCATCAGGCTCTGATTTTTATATTTTGGAAAGGTTTGGGAAGAATTATGTAGCCTAAGAAAGCCTGTTTTTGTACTTGTCAGGATGTGTTGCCAAAATCTGAAGCATTATCTCAACCAAGTCCCTGTTCTTGAATTGGAATTAGGCTGCAACAACTAATTCATTTGTGGATACTAAGTGATCTAATAATTTAAGTAAAACAGGTATAGTATAGGTAAATTTAATCAGCCACAACATTTAAGAAAATAATTTCTATTTTTTAAAGAAGTGGGATGGTCTTTTCAACTCAAAATACCTGATGAAGTTAGACATACTAAAAACAGAATTGAAATCTATTCCTGAAGCAGAGATTAAAGGCCATCTTTGGCCTTCAGATATTCCTTAGAAGCTCTCAGAAATCTATTCGTGATCCAAGGAAATGGGTGGAATGCATATATCCTCATGTATTTTTTCCAGATACTTTCAGAGTCATCCACATTTCCTCAGAAGAAACGATCTAAGAGGAAGAGGACTGAGTGGCTGCCACAGAGTCACAAACCAACAGCTAACATAGCTGCTGTTTGCAGATGCTCATGCTCTGTATGAAGCTCTGGTTTTGTAAGTAAGTAAAGGAATACAGTCCTCACAAATGCTCTTGGAAGGACTACAGCCAGTAACCCTGACCAGTCTTCTCATGCCAGCATGGAGCAGCAAGGCAGGCTCACATGGTTTTCTATCCATTTGACAGACTCCTGAGTTGGACAAAGCTACAACACAGACTCAATCCACCTAGGGATTTCATAAAGTATTATTTCTATCAGAGGGTTCCCATCAACTGGGCACTTAGACAGAAAAAATAAAATATGTTAAAATTACTTTAATTAAAAGGGTTTCTAAATGTATAACTAGGCAATCAAAATTATGTTCACTTTCTATTCAGCCTATATAAGCTCAGCCAATTTTCACACCCAGAAGTAGGAAAAACATGTTAATATTAGGCAAAACCAAAATTTTTTTGTTAAGTATCAAATTAAAAAATTAGCTACTTGCTTCGCTTTTTATAACACAGTAAGCTGAAAGACTAAAAATCAAAACAAGAAGTGTTGTACAACATCCAATTCATCCCTGGCATTATTCCACATAAATCAGTGGTAATACACTGGGGATTAATTTGGAACACTGATCTGAATTAGAGCACTGTTCTACACAGCAGCCGCCTCATAACACACACACATCATAACACAAAACATTCTAAGCATCACAAATGCCCACAAATAATTATGTACCTAATAGCCTATGTCTGAGCAAACAAGGGAGGCTATTCCATAGTTTTGACAATAACAGCAAGGAATTTCCACTATTTTTAAGAATTAGTAGGTACACCTTTTTCCAGAATGGATATTTAATTATCACATATTTTACACCACTAAGTCCACTCAGAATAATGCAAAGCTCCTCCAACAACTCAGTTTTTACCTTTCCTAATTAGATATGACCAGCTTGCTAGGTTACATAATGAACCTCCAAAAACTGCTTTAAAGTAGTACTGAAGATTGATTTGAAGTTCACAAGTTTGTTCAGCAAAAGGTAGTCCCCACACATACAACACTCATCAGTGTTAAGTATTTAATGAGTTTCTCCTCTGAATAGAAAACCATTCACATTCACTGTGACTAGGTCCAGGAGCAAGTGGGTCGCTGCTGCTGGGGCTGAGGGTCGCATCTCTCCTGCCACAGAGACAGGTGATGCTGAAACAACCGCCCAGGCAGTGGAGCCCACACGAAGGCTCGTGTACCCGGACAACAGCTTTCCGCTCGCAGGGATTACTCAACTGTCCGAACACACCGCGAGGCTTCAGGCTGACCTCTGCCTTTCAAAGGCGAATCTCGGCCGGGGGCCGGTGCTTTCCACCCAGCTGCGCTTCATCAGCCCGAACCCTGCCCTGAGAGACTGACCTAACACCACCCCACCGGGGGACTTCTCACCTGCGAGAGACTCGCAGCCCCCGGTGCTACGCGGAGCCAACGACCGTTGTTACCTACGGGCTGTGAACACGCTACAGTTTCCGTGAGTTTTTCCCCCCCTTTCAGGCAGGCTTATCACCCCCCCGGACAGTTGCTCTGCCCTCGCAGCCTGCCTCATCACCCAGCGGCAGCGTACCCGCTGTCAGAACCCTGCTCAGCCCGCAGCTAACGAGAGACGCAGCAGTAAGCAGTAACACCACCACCATCACCACCACCACCCCCCCCTCACTCCCCCGGCCTCGCTCCACTGATCAGGGTCGGGAACCGGCGCGACGCCTCCGGGAGACCCCGGCACGGGGCGGAGGCCGTTCTACCCCGCACGGACATCTATGGGAGAAGGGGGCAGCCCCGATATTCCCGCGTGTGCACGAGGGGAAGGCTCCGGCGGTCCCAGGGAGCACTTACTGAAGAAGATGTACTCAGTGTAGCTGCTCCAGATCTTGTCGTCCCGGTACTGGTTGATGAAGGCGGCCGTGCCGGTGGAGTTGCAAGCCACCATGTGGAAGCCCGCCTCGGAGAGCCGATCGAAGGCTTGTTCTAGGTAAGTGAACTTGAGGTAGAAGCGGGAAGTATACTTCTCGGGGGGGCGGTCGGGATCGCGGCTCTCGTTTAGGGTCTCGCCGAAGACCTCCTTGGCCAGGGCGATCCTGCCGCACACCATGATGCGGGCGACGCGGCGGAACTTGGCGTCCGCCTGGTTGTCCCGCACCGTGGTGTAGGAGCCGCGGTAGCCCACCGTGAGGAAGCCCGAGCGCTTGTCCAGGCCGGCCCGCTGCAGCCGGTCGCTGCTGCCCTGCGAGGTGCTGTCCTCCAGGTCGCTTTGGCAGCCCTCGTCGTTGAGCGAACTCTGCTTGGTGACCTTGGGCGACAGCAGCTTCACCAGATCGCCCAGCTGGAAGTATTCTGCCTCCCGCAGGAGCCGTTCCTTCTCGGGGAAGTGCTCGGGCAGTGCCAGCTGCTTGTCCCGCAGGTAATCCAGCACGTACCTGAAGAGGAAGCCGTCGCGGTCGATGAAGAAGCGCGCCCGGCTGTCCCTGGGCAGCTGGCGGGCCGCCGCTGGGCCACCCCGGCACGGCGAGAACATGGTGGCCAGCATGCTGTCCGGGACGCTGAGCAGCGTGGAGTGCCTCGTCACGTACACCTGGCCCCCCACGTTCAGTTCTACAACCTCGGGGAACGGCGAGCCCGACGGCCCCGACACCATGTCGCTGATGGGCAGGATGCTGCCGCCCGCCTCCTTCAAAGCCATGGTTGCGAGCGGGCGGCCGCGAAGGAGGGTCTCCCTCCTAAAAAAGGCAGCCTGAGGCCTCCCTCCCTCCCTTTCACCCACCCCACCCCTCCTCCTCCTTCTTCCCCCACCGCCCGCCGCGCCCGGAAGCTCCGGGACGGAGCTGCCGCTCCCGCCGCCCTCCGGCACCGCACCGCGGCTCCGGGGTGCGCGGCTCCGGTTCTCTCCTACCCGCGGAGCCCCTCACTGCCCCGCGGCAGGACGGGCCTGGCCCCGCGCTGCGCTCCGCTCGGTGGTAACGGGGGCCGCGGAGTACCGCGCTGCTCAGCGCCGAGCGGCCGCCGGAGCCGGCTGCCACTCGGCAGAGCGCTGCCGTGCTGCCGGGCGCTGCCCAGGAGAGAGCCAAGCCCCTACCCCGGCTCCTCCCCTTCGCCTCGGCTGGTGGCTTTTTCTGTTCGCTTTGGATGTTTTTTATTTATTTATTTTTCCCCACTTAAATTCCTCCCAGCCTCCCCCCTCTGCCTCTCTTATGCTGCTGCGCCGGTCGGTGCTTGAGGAGTTTTATCACCGCAATGATGGACATCCATCCAGAAGTAGCATCCCACAGGGTGCATGTAGCAACGTTTTTCGCTGTGTGTCAGCACACCTTTACTGGGAGGAAAGGGGAAGAATTTAACTGGGAGCATCACAGAGGCTGTGCCAAAGTGTAGGTCTAACAGACCACACCGGGATGCAACACTGTTTTCTGTCCTGCTGCTCCCCTGAGCACAGCAAACACTGAGCTTTGTTCTCAGCACACTGTGGCAGGAGCTCAGTGAGCTCTCTGGCTTGACAATGGCATTGGGGTGATTTAGAGCAGAAAAGAAAGTCATCTGCTACTAGGATCCAGGTGCCAAGCACAGATTTTGACTTGGAACACATCATTGCCTGATTGTTGGCCGTGTAACAGCTAAATTTGTGCTGTTTAAACAGTAGATTTTTATAATTTTTATTTATCTGTTCCTAGCTGGAGCCACAGCTCACCTGCTTCCAGATTCCTGACATGTGTGCTTTCAGATAGGGCTGATAGAATGCACCAAAGTGCCTGGGTATTGAAAGGCAGACATGCGATTGCTCTTGCCAGTAAGAGTTGAGGTCTGAGACTGACAGGGGATGTGCCAGTGCCAGATCCGAGTGTGATTCCACTCAGCTAGATAGTTTGTGTATGGCAGCCCTCCGATTTTGTTGCTTATGGTTCTTTAAAAGTTAAGGATTCAAACCTGAATCATACCATATAGAAGTGGGAGCCCCTTCCATTTGTCAGTTAAGTATGACTGCACATCAGGTCCAGGCGTAAAGGCATAAAATTCTCAGGTAGATCATTGTTATCTCCTCACTGGAAGGTGCTGGTGAAGATGAGGAAGTTTCTTTACCAATCACCTTGGTTGTGTTCTCTAAATTATTTGTCCAGACTTCTTTGAATGTGCTAGCACAGATATTCCTATGGCAGTCCATCCCATCTGTCACTAAATCATTGAGGTTGGAAAAGACCTCTAAGCTTATCTCATCTGACCATCAAACCGTCCCCACCATGCCCACTGACCATGTTCCTCAGTGCCACATCAACACATTTCTTGACCACCTCTATGGATGGTGACTCCACTCCTCTTTGGGCAGCCTGTGCCATTGCCTCACCACTCTTCCCTAGGATCCCTCCTTCAAGGCAGGATGAATCAGTCCATGGTGCTGCCTTCTCCCTCCACATCGTCCAAATCAACTAAGTTATCCTTGTAAGAAACTCTTATAGATACAGGTATGTGTTTACTGCTGCTCAGTTCTGAAATGGAAATTAGGATATTAGGAGTTAATCCATTTACTTGGCTTGCAGCCCAGCCAGGTGTTGAACTGATACACACGGAAAAGGTAACCTTGCATTTTAAAAATGTTTCTGTAATCTCTATGGTGAAATTGTATTTGGTTATAAACTGTTAACTGAAACATTTAAAGTTTCTGAGAAAGAGAGGTGAAGGCCAGAGCTTCCTTCATAAGTGACTTGTCCCCAAGCAACAATTAAGATTGGAACAAATGTTTTAGAGATACATTTCAACCTTATTTTAAAACAAAAATAAAAACCTGTTACTATCCAAGGTTATTCCTGCTGTTGCAGTCTTATATAGTTGAATAATAAAAAATGAAAGATTCATAACCTCTTTTGAAATTAAATGGCAAAATACATCATATTCCCCTAGTGAAAATGAACAACAAAGTAGAAAATAACATTTAGGAGAAGAATAAACAATGAGATTAGATGCTTAATCGGAGGTTCTTAGAGAGAGAATTATGAAAACTCTATAAATCCAGTAACTGAATAAATTAGGCAATTTTTTTAGCAAGATGAGTCTTCTGGCAGACTTCCAGTGCAGTCAGAAGGAATTGTTCCTCTGTCCTGAACTGCAGAATCAGACAGAAAGAGTAGTTTTTCATGCAGAAAATAAATGAATAAATAAATAAAAATCCAGATGATTATAATGAAAAAGCCTGTAATAGTTACAGAAATCATCTGATAAGCATTTAAGATGATTATGTTGTCTTTCAAAAAGTCAGCAGCCCCCCAAAATGGCATTAAAATTGTAGACAAGAGTGTGACAAACTGCCACCAGTATCATATTTCTAACAGTACTGTACTCCAGCTCAATAAACCCTGGAAAATTTGGCTATTTTCATGGTTTTCCTCTTTTTGTTATCATTTGTCTTTTTTTTTTTTTTTTTTTAGTTCCTAATATTTTCATATTAAGAACTTGTAGATCTTTCTTGTTCTGTTAGATCTTGTTCCCTACAACAAATAGTGCAACAAAGCACCATTCCAAGAAATGGCTTTTTCTCTTCTTAATGCATTTTTCTTCTAGACCTAAATTCATCTTTTTAAACCTTAAAGGTACTTCTATGTAACACTGCATTTTTCTGAAATGATTAGAACTCTGTCCTACAAGAGTTTAAAAATTATTTTATTTATGTGATTAATCCTCAGAGTTAAATGGAAGCACACACATAAATTTAGTACTGTGGGAATTTGTACCTTCAGGACCTAAACAACATTGCAAGTGTACACAACATTTCATACATTTAAATTAGTATTATAGATTATTTATTTGCACTGTTGGGACTGAAATCAAGGAAAACTAATCTGCACACTTGTTTCTGAGAACTTTCTTCTTTACAGTCTGTAGTAATTGATTGTTCTAATGTGAGTTGGATTTTGAAAAGTAGCTGGTGGTTATTAATGCTTCAAAGATTATGCATTCTCAGGGAAAAAAAAATTGCTGAGAAGCCTTTTCAGACACGTTAATCAAGAAGAATTTAGCAAGTTTTGCTTCTCAAGGACTAGAAGTTTCATTTACTGACAGCTAATGTTTTCTGAAAGTATTTATTCGTACAAAGGTTACCAGTGTTAAATGAGCTCCGCTGTGCTGTGGCTGAAGTGATTTGTTTGAATGATTCACTGCACCAACTGGACAAGCTTCACCTGATGAGCTTTTAGGGTCCAGAGTCACTTGTGGGAGTTAGAAAAAGCTTGGTCTTTTGTACTGTATCCATTTAATCTATTCCCATACTACACCACAGTACAAAAGAGAAGAACACACACAAAAAAGGATAAGCCCAGGAATTATAAATCTGCCTAGCCTCTTTACAATATTTCACTTATTTTTAGCCAAATATACATGAGAATAATTTATGGTGTCACTGGATTTGTTACATGAAAAATGCACTATTTATTTTCCTTCATTAAGGCTAAAGCAATACAGCAGTCTGAATTAGCATTCCCAGAGTACTTAGGCATTTAGTTCCTTTTCAGAACAGAAATGTATCTTCTCTGTGAATTTACACTAACCTAAGTCTAACTAAATTCTGACTTCACTGTAGCAAGTTCTACATTTAGCATATTCTGCATATAAACACCCCTTAGCAAGAATGTGTTAGCTCGTTAATTAGGCCTAATAGCCTGAACAGTTATGCAAGTGTAACCTGAGTATAACAGTGATGTTTTTCTCAGCGTTGGCTATATTTAGCATTTGAATGTACTATTATTTTTCCATCTTCATTCACATATCTTTTTAAAAAGCCCTCTTTAAAATGTTGATCAGTGCAAAGGGATTTTCATAAGAATCCTGCATACTGACATTCCACTCAATTGCTCATTTCTTTCTTATTCTCAAGCAGCAGTTTCCCAGAGCCTGCTAACATCAAGAGCCTGTACACACTTCTATCTGTACCACAGTGTTTCATTAGAGTGATGTTAGATTACTTCATTAACACCTGGGTCCTGAATATTAACCATGTAATATGGTCGCTTAATATAGCAACAGTTTTTATGCAACTATGTTTTTTGGTAACCAGGAACCTCATATTCTCTAGCTGCTACTTTTTTATGAACCTAAGCTGAAGCAAACCCAGAAGCACCAGATACTGATAGCACATGCATGTGGTGGTATGCACTTGTGCTGGGATAGCTACAGTTTGACTGTAACTGTTCTGTCAATAAAAATTGTGATTTTTCTGTTTTTTTCTATGTAATCATAGCTCCCTTTGGCTTCAGCTTGTGTTTGAGGTATTTGGGAGTTCATATAAGTAGGCACTTAATGTCTGAGTGGGTATATATCTGCAGTCTAGCACATGGAAATTAATGCAGCGGTGTTTATTTCAGGATCTCCCTACAGTGGTACAAATTATGGCTCCACTAAACGCAGTATAGATTTTTTCTGTTTGCTGTAGGTTATCTAATATTGGAATGGACGATGATAATGATCTTTCCCTTCTTCATTAAGGGAGAAAATATCAAAGACATTATAAAACACAGTACTTGAACAATTCAAAAATTATACTTGAGTCTTTACATACACAAACTCAATAATCATAATGTTTCTGGTAATATCACGACTTGTCATATTGTATCAACATTTGTGTTGGATGAGTGAAAAAGTAAGAGAACTGCTGGGCATGGCTCTGATTCTGCAAAACACTTAAGGCCAGATCTATAACAGGATATGCAAGACCTTATCATGATTCAGTGGAATTCATATGAGCAAAGTGCCTAAACGGGAGGTAAGTGCTTCAGTACTATTTTGAGTCTGC